TATGGGGTTAGACAGTGATCCAGTTTCATTCTCGTACATGTAGCTGTCCAGTTTTGCCAGCACCATCTGTTGAAGAGATTGTCATTTCCCCATTGTATGTCCATGGCTCCTTTATCGTATATTAATTGACCATATATGTTTGGGTTAATGTTTGGAGTCTCTATTCTGTTCCACTGGTCTGTGGCTCTGTCCTTGTGCCAATACCAAATTGTCTTGATTACTGTGGCTTTGTAGTAGAGCTTGAAGTAGGGAAATGGATCCCCCCACTTTTTTCTTCCTTCTCAGGATTGCTTTGGCTATTTGGGGTCTTTTGTGGTTCCATATGAATTTTAAAACTATTTGTTCCAGTTCGTTGAAGAATGCTGTTGGTATTTTGATAGGGATTGCATTGAATCTGTAGATTGCTTTAGGCAGGATGGCCATTTTGACAATATTAATTCTTCCTAGCCAAGAGCATGGGATGAATTTCCATTTGTTAGTGTCTTCTTTAATTTCTCTTAAGAGTGTCTTGCAGTTTTCAGCATATAGGTCTTTCACTTCCTTGGTTAGGTTTATTCCTAGGTATTTTATTCTTTTTGATATAATTGTGAATGGAATTGTTTCCTTGATTTCTCTTTCTGCTAGTTCATCATTAGTGTATAGGAAAGCAACAAATTTCTGTGTATTAATTTTATATCCTGCAACTTACTGAATTCAGATATTTGTTCTAGTTTTGGAGTGGAGTTTTTAGGGTTTTTTATGTACAATATCATGTCATCTGCAAATAGTGGCAGTTTGACTTTTTCTTTACCAATATGGATGCGTTGTATTTCTTTGTTTTGTCATCTGTATCTAATTTTATGTATTTATATAACTTTCTCCCAACAAAGTAGGGTTATACTGTAATTATTGTTTTATAATCTATTATCAACAAACTACCTTATTTTTAAGATTAACTGTAAAATGACTAGCAGAAAACTAAACAAATAAAAAAGCTATAAGTGTGTATGTGTGTGTAAGGGCTGGCATGACAGGGAAGGGGGAAAAAAATGTAAAAATTTGAAAGCTGAACAGAAATGCTCCAGAGCTCACTAAACATTTGCAGGATACATCAAAATCAATATTTGATAAAAGGGCAGCTCTGGTATTCTTTACAACCAAAATGCTTGTACATTTTTTTGTCTTACCAACTTGGTCTTTGGCTAAATCATATGGTATCTTCTTTAGTGGTGGATTTCCTAGTTGCATCAATATTTTTATAAGGTCAAAATAAAAATAATAGGATTAAAAATCGAAAAAAAAACACAAGATCTCATGAGAAACTTATTTCCTGTCAGATAGTGGTAAAATACAGTAATGGGTTATTAAGCAAAGTTGTTGAGTCAATAATGTATTGAATCTCTGTCCCTGAGAATTTAAAAAGTAGAACAGAATAAGAGTCAATCATTTGCCCAAGGCAGAAAGCTGGATCAGATAATTATTAAATGTACCCTGTGATTCTTCATCTGATTCTATATCTGAGCATTCTCAAAGAGGAAACTCTCACCTTTAATTGAGCCCCTGCACGGATGTAGTTATAAGCTGAAAGGGATTTCTGGAGACGTAGAGAGCGTAGTGTCTGTTCTGAACCTCCTTGGAGTAGCTGAAAAATATTTAATTAAAAATAAATTGGCAAATACATAATGAACCAAATATACTAAATATTCTAACAATAACAATCCAGCTTTTATTCATTTTCTGGGCTTACTCCACTTAGGACCTCCTGTTTCTGATTTTAAAGAATTATTTTTTTTTACCTTGAACATAAATGACTTCATAAATCATTGGTCATGGAGAATGTTATGTAGTCAGGAAGAAAATTACTTAAAAAGTCCTAGCTCTTTTGAAACATAGGTGGCATAAAAGGTTCTTGCTTTTACTATACTTGTTTATAAAACAGAAGCCTGTGCTCTGTGGTGGTCACTTGCTCAGCAACCTCATTATTCAGACAGGATAGAGTTGTGCTTCAGAATTCAGAAAATTCAGACCATTATTGCCATGGAAAAAAGAGAAATCAGCAGACAGTCATAGGCTGAGTCACACTGGAAACAGCTTTTCCTCATTAGTCTCTGTATCTCCAGAAAGGAGGAAAATTGGATGATCATGACTATAATGTTGGACAAAGACAAATTTTAACACTTTCAGCAAAGTGTGGAAAACACTGGGGAAAAGTTACGGGTTCTTGAAGTAAACAGAACTCTTTCATATTTGGTAGAAAAACAGTTTACTGAAAATACCAGGAATTATCAACAAAAACACCAATATAATAAGGGTAGCCCTTTTATACAGAACATGCCTTTGAAAGGCATTATGTTTAAATTCTCTGTATCAAATTGTACATTTAGTTTTACTTAAAAGGTATATAATTATCAGATTTTAAAAACTGATCTTTTTTACTAAATGTATCAGAACTTGTATATACAAGTGAGCACTGTCAGAGCAGTTACCTAGAGGAAACTGAACTCAGCTGAACTGTACTCAACTTATATTGTCACTGCTCAATCACCTTCAGACAGTTAAACATGAGAATCAATCTTGTTGATTAATCCAAAACAGTATTGCCTAATTTGATCACTCACTTCATTTATTAAGCATTGATTTGTATTACTTTGGGCTTTAAAAAATTATGATGTCTCAAACTTGTTCTCTGAGTATAAAGACTTGCCAGGATGAGGGCAATTTTAAAAGATTCTGCCTTAGACTCTAAAAGCACTCCCAGAAGACATATTCAAATTTTTTTTCCTAAGCAATCACAGCTTTGATGGGATAAAGAAGACAACTCTCCTCTGAATTCATAAATATGTTTTTTGAAGTAATCATATTGCTTTATAGACTCCATGAGCAAAATAAACTAAATTTGTATTCCCATCTCTGGAACTCCCAAAAATGGGAACAACAGCTTTGATTCAAAGTAAAACAAAAAAATTTAACATATTCAGAATTCACCATTTCCTACAAACTGTCACCTACACTGTAAAGAAATGTAGGTGATGCTCAACCAAAGCAGTCATTTGAGATTGCCACCAGCTCTTTACAACAGTCATGCTCCATGGAGTGAGTGTGTGTGTGTGTGTGTGTGTGCGTGGCACACGCGTGCACATGTGGGTAACCTGTTCTGCATCAATGGAGGCAAGGGAGGCACAGGACAGGGGAGACTCTGTTATAGAAACAGTTATACCCTGCCTAACTGAGCAAATGATGGATTATCTGCACAACAGTAGACACTAACCTGATAGAACGAATGAAAGCTTCTTTCTCCTGGCTGTTGGACAATTACTCGAGACTAAGAAAAAAAAAACATTAAATCATTAGTCTGAGAACGTATGCCTAAAACAAAATGCAAGCCACTTTCTCAGGGAATCCCGTATCAAAATGCACTTCAATGTCCTAAATGGATAGTACCTTCTAAAATCAAGTCTCTTCTATGGGGCTTTCTGTGCAATTTTTTGATAATTCTTTTTACTTTGTTTAAAACAGAGTTCCTTAAGCTTTGCTTTCTGAAAATGAAGCTATTTTGATTTTTAAAAAAAATCTGGAGCCCAAAGATGGAATTTCTTCAGGGTGGGAGGAATTAGAAATGGGGAGAATAGAAAGGAATGTTTAGGGAGGAATATTCTCAACATTCCTTTTCCCAGGGTCTCCTGGCATTTTAAAGAGCAGTGCCTTATAACCTGTAATAAAATCAGTTGAGCAAGATCAGTCTATAGAGACCACTGCCTTAGATGGTTCCCAAAAGATTGCTATTAATATGTTCATTCAAAGGGATCTTTTTGATTGAATATGTGCATAAAGTGAAGCCAGGAAGCACTTTGGAAAAAAACCTGATAATACCTGGCATTTCCTGTCCTTTTTTAACTGACTCTGATAAAAACACTTAACTTCCTTAACAGTCTGACTTCAATTTAATAAACAAGATAAGATTATGCCTACATTTTTCTGCCATAAAGGATGCTGAATAAATGAAAACTAGAAGAAAATAAGATTTCAAATTAATTAAAGTAAAACCCTATGGTGGGAGTATCAAATCACTATGCTGTACACCCTAAACTTATGCAGTGTTATATCTCAATTAGATTGCAATTAAAAAAAAGAGTTGTATGGGCATGATTCTTTAGAAAGAGTGTTATTTCATGGAATGGATGTGATAGCTCTTTAGTAATGCATTTAAAAAAGAAAAGGGAGAGGGTGATGTGTAATAAAAGAAGAATTAATCCTAGATTGGCTTTTAGTTAAACCTTACCCAGTAGTTGGCACATATTCATGTCACCTCCATTCCCTCCCCTCCCACACCTAAATCTTTATCTACAAAGTTCAAAACTTTTTCCGACTTGATACTGTAAGAAGAGAATACACAAGACGAGAATATCTTGTCACAGAAAGCTAACTGAGAAGCAAGAACGGAGGGAGAATTGGGTTAAAAGTTACTTTGAAGCAATTAAAGAAATTCTATAAACACAATAAGGTTTAAAAAAAAACAGCACTGTGAACATTACCCTCAGAAATCAAGCACATTTTACCTTCTCCAATAAGTAGTTATTGATATGCCCACCAATAGGGTCCCCCTTGAAGTCAAAATTGATATCCATGTATTTCCCAAACCGGCTTGAGTTGTCGTTGCGGCTGGTTTTGGCATTTCCAAAGGCTTCCAAGACACAGTTGGACTTCAGTAACATGTTCTTCACCCTTCAACATAGACAGATGAAAGTTGCTGTAAAAGGTTTCAGAGGCTAGGCCATTTGAAAACAAAATTCAGTTAAAACACACATAAATGCTTTCACAAAGATGTTGACAGCAGCATCAATATCAAACAGAAACCAAACCTAAATGTCCACCAATAGGGATGCATAAAAATACATTTTTGTTTCCCAGTACAATATTTACTGACAGAAAGTTGTCTAGAACATATATATGAATGAGAAATTATAAAATAACATGTATTGCAAGATCTTTGTGTGCGTGCATACACGAGTGTAGGTGTGCATCCACATGTGTTAGTAAATGCTTAAAAATCTGGAGTGAACAGTACACTTCTCTGTGGTTACCTAGGTTGATGGGGTAGGTAGGGCAGGATTTCAGGGAACTTTCACCTTTAACAAAATACTATCATTTTTGTTTTAAAATACTGTTATGCTTTTATTTACAGAAATAAAAATCTTAAAGAAAGATATGCATTTTAAAGAAAGAATAGGTAATACAGAAAATGATACAACTTTCAAAAGTCCTTGCTTATAAAGTAGAATACTGAAATTTATTGTTTACTTATGCTTCATAAATGTGGTCTTTATTAGTTTAAAACTGCTCATCATTTTGTTTAAAGCTATATGGAATGTCTCCTATGTATTGGTTATTTAATTCATTTTACTCAATAAATGCTAACTTTCTATAGAGAAGTCTTTCCCAATGGATACATTTAAACTTCATGCTCATCCTTACATCTTTATTTTTATTTGTCTGACAAAGTTCCTCCTGCATGGGCATACCTGCAGAAATAACTTGGGCCAGTGAAATATGCTGACATGGCAGATCCACTGTTCCCTCCACTACCACTCTATGGGACCCTATGACCTTTTCTCCCCATGAATGCACGCATACTTTTAAAACACTGGGGTGGGGTGAAACTGCCTGCTTATAATAAATAAAGGAAACTGTCCATAAGACATGGTAAGATATGCTCATAAAAGACTAGTAAATGTAGATATGCCATACTCTACCAACTGGGTTTAGAAATAACTTCTCAGCCAGTTACTCTCTTGAGCTTCTTAGGAAATCAAGGAAAGTTACTCATACCCTTGTCCTTGTCATATTAGATTGCAAAGTCAGAATCAGAAGTGGGAATGTCCCACTCTTAAGAAGAATGCCTCTTTTGACCTGGCACTCCAGCCCAATTATGATGAAAAGGGAAAGCCCACGTAGGGCAGTCTAGCCTAGTCTAAATCTTCTTTTGTACCAATCCAGAGTCCTTTCTTTCCATTCATAAAACCCAAGACTGCCATGTGTTTATGAGTAGGACTCTTCAGTAAATGAATACTAAGCTACAAAGTAGCAACTCTGGAAAACTTCTTTTTTTCCTTTTCAAAAAGTCCACACCACATAAGAATCCAAGTCATGTGGCTTTATAGCCACATTTTTCACTCAAACAAAAAACACTGCATCCATTCAATTCCTCAAATATTTATTAAGTAAATACTATGTGCCAGACACTGTGCTAAATGCTGGGCCCTGGACAGTGCACACCAGCTTTATTATTCCTCTTACTGTGAGCAGCATCATAGAGCGGCATGAATCTCTTCTAGATAGAGATATTTAGAATTCCTAATGTTAGGAGTTCGGCAGTCCCAGGGACAGCAAGGCATGGATCTGCCTCCAAGTGCCCCCTTTCACTCTGTGGAACCCAGGGTAGCTCAGAACACAGTGAAAAAAGATGCTGGTGCATCATAAGATTGTATATCAATGATACTTAAAAAAAAAAGATGTTGGTAGAGTAGGAAGAGCTAGGGATCTATGAGTTTGAGAAATAAAACTACTAGTGTAAATCATAACATCTTTGCTGACCATGTATACCATTTAAGGCAGCAGTTATAAACTGGACTGGGGACAATGGGGACAATTTCATCTCTTTCAGCTTAATTCTCTTTTGTTTTATATTTAGATAAAGGCTACCATAGTATTTTTCTATTGAAAACAAATGTAGAAATAGACATAGAGACACTATGCAATAAGAGAATCAAAGTGGTTTCATCACCCATAAGCTCAGCACAAATTAGTAGGCTTCGTCAAGACTACAGAGAAAAATAAAAGAGAAGCTCTGACGGGAATTTCTTCCCATTTTCAGATGGCCCGTACCTTTCGACCTCTGCTCTCTGACTGGGGTTGGTGATGGCCGCGATATACTGCATGATGTACTTACTGGCTTCTGTTTTTCCAGCTCCACTTTCCCCTGGTGAAAAATTATGCAAGGCTTAACACTGTAACTTAAACTAAGAGTAAGCTAATTTTTAATTGAATAATTTCACAGTTTGATATTAGTTATTTAAAATCCCTTGTGTTCTGCTGTTTGCTTTTTAAATTTCATCCTGTCTTAATACATTGGTTTTAACAGATCTCAACATGTTTGGAAAAATATAAAACTACTATAAAATGACACAGATTACAAATCAAGGCTTGCTTAGTAAAAATATCAATAAATGTGATGAACTAATTCTTAGACTGAGGTTCAGTACTTGGCAGTGACTCTTAAGTAGAGCAGTGAAGAAAGAACTAGTGACTAAAACAGTGGCCACAGCAAGATTCTATAACCTCATTTTCTATAGCAGAATTTAATCTTAAAGGGGATGAAATAATCCCTTCAGCAAATTTAAGAGCAATTGTAGTGAAAACAAAATAAGTTCCAGACATGGTGTCGCAGAAAAAGCATGACAACTGGTATGCAGGGGAGGGGAGACAGGCTCAATTGAGTTATCTACCCAATTTTTAAATCTGACCCGAAAATTCCACTTGTAGACATTTACACTATGAAAACGGTAAAAATACTAATGTAATCAATAACAATAATCTTCAAATGTTTTAAGAGTATTTCTGTAGATTATATTATATATCATAGCTAAAACCTAAATATAATATAGCCATAAGTAGAGGACTAAGTAAAATAAATGATTCAATTACTCAATAGAATGCTACACATTCATTAGAGAATGAATTACTTTAAGAAGTACTCTAATGAAAAGGTGTCCACTATAAATTATTCAAAGGAAAAACAAGTTACATAATAGCAGGTATAACATAATTCTATAATATAATTACCTATGCATGTATGACCTTATGTATTTGGACACATACATGAAATGTAGAAGTGGATAAATACTAACATCCGTATCACTGAATTTTGGGGAGAACAAGGTACTCAAAGGGAAGGGATTTTTCTGCTTTTACTTTATACACTTGTATGATTGTTTGCTTTTTTCTGTCCTCCTTTCTACAATCAGGAAACATTGCTTCCACAATTTGTTTTAATAAAATGCAGTCCTAGAAGATAATCCTCCAACTCCAACACTAAGTTAATTGCTTACCTCCCCCAACTCTTAATATTCTCATCTATAAAGTACAAACATAACTGTCCTACTTACCAGAGTTGTTTTGGTAACCAAAATGGAATAAAGATCATAAAGTAATTTTTTAAAGTATAAAGCCACTAATACAAATGCAAAGTATTATTAGCACCAAAATAAATTCCCACAGTTTGGGAGAAGTCATCCTGGGTCAGTGAGCAGATATTTTTCTGTCCCCATTTCACTATACAACATTCCTTGAAGAGCTTAGCATTACTTAGAGAATTCAGCTCCAGTTCTTGGGTGTAAAGGTCCGCCTCCCTCCTCCTCCTCCTTCAGACTTAAAGCTCCCGCCCTCGGCTCCCAATTACTGGCCCCCAAGCCCACTGGTCCCTGGACACTAGCTCCCATTCACCAATCTCACTTTGAATTCATTCTTCATTTCTTGTACCTCAGGATTTTGTTTTCTTGGTTTCACTCTCTATTTAAAATAATTTTGCTACATTTTGTGTGTTTGAGATGGCAGAAAGGGCTTTCTGTTATCAGTTCACTCTACAAAATTGACCAGATATTCATCCAAATGTAATATGGAATCTGTATATAAACCTAGACTAGAGGATGCCAGAAATAATATAAATAATTTGGTATTTAATAGTCATTTTTTTCTCCTATAAAGTTGCTTACATGTCTAACTTCTAACTTACCTTTCTAGTCAATCATTTTGATCTGTGAGTACTTAACAAGTTAAACACATTTTGACCTTGCAAGTATAGCGGGCCCCCTTAAAGTACCTGATATCACAATACAAGTGTCTTTTGATCGCCTCTTCATAGCTTTGTAAGCAGCATCAGCAATAGCAAAAAGATGAGGCGGTCTCTCGTACAGCTCCCGCCCTTTATACTGCTCGATTGTGTCTCTCCCATAGATGTTCAATGACTTGTAAGGATTCACAGAAACAACGACTTCTCCAATGAATGTGTAGATACGTCCTTTTTCAAATCTGTATAGAAGCAAAAGAAAAGGAAGAAATAGCTGCTGTTATTTAGAAATACTATTTCCTTCCTATGAGTCTTAGTTCCAAAAAAATCCAAATATCTCAGGAACAATGCCTGACCTGACATTTCACTGGGGTGAGCTTACTCTTACAGACAATGCCTGAGGCTGTGTCCATTCAGATGCTGGTGGTAGAAAAGACCAATAAGAGTTAAAAGCCAAGAAAGAAAAAATAATTTTTTGGAGGTTGAGGACTTCCTATTTATGAAATACAGAGTGGTAAGAAGCATAAAAAATTATTGAAGACAACCTAAGAGCTCTAGGAAGAAAAGAAATAGAAGTTAAAGCAGGTCTTAAACATCTACTCAGTCAGCTTCCCAGTTATAAAGACAACTGTCCAAATACATATCCCCCAACTCTTAATATTCTCATCTATAAAGTACAAACATAACTGTCCTACTTACCAGAGTTGTTTTGGTAACCAAAATGGAATAAAGATCATAAAGTAATTTTTTAAAGTATAAAGCCACTAATGCAAATGCAAAGTATTATTAGCACCAAAATAAATTCCCACAGTTTGGGAGAAGTCATCCTGGGTCAGTGAGCAGATATTTTTCTGTCCCCATTTCACTATACAACATTCCTTGAAGAGCTTAGCATTACTTAGAGAATTCAGCTCCAGTTCTTGGGTGTAAAGGTCCGCCTCCCTCCTCCTCCTCCTTCAGACTTAAAGCTCCCGCCCTCGGCTCCCAATTACTGGCCCCCAAGCCCACTGGTCCCTGGACACTAGCTCCCATTCACCAATCTCACTTTGAATTCATTCTTCATTTCTTGTACCTCAGGATTTTGTTTTCTTGGTTTCACTCTCTATTTAAAATAATTTTGCTACATTTTGTGTGTTTGAGATGGCAGAAAGGGCTTTCTGTTATCAGTTCACTCTACAAAATTGACCAGATATTCATCCAAATGTAATATGGAATCTGTATATAAACCTAGACTAGAGGATGCCAGAAATAATATAAATAATTTGGTATTTAATAGTCATTTTTTTCTCCTATAAAGTTGCTTACATGTCTAACTTCTAACTTACCTTTCTAGTCAATCATTTTGATCTGTGAGTACTTAACAAGTTAAACACATTTTGACCTTGCAAGTATAGCGGGCCCCCTTAAAGTACCTGATATCACAATACAAGTGTCTTTTGATCGCCTCTTCATAGCTTTGTAAGCAGCATCAGCAATAGCAAAAAGATGAGGCGGTCTCTCGTACAGCTCCCGCCCTTTATACTGCTCGATTGTGTCTCTCCCATAGATGTTCAATGACTTGTAAGGATTCACAGAAACAACGACTTCTCCAATGAATGTGTAGATACGTCCTTTTTCAAATCTGTATAGAAGCAAAAGAAAAGGAAGAAATAGCTGCTGTTATTTAGAAATACTATTTCCTTCCTATGAGTCTTAGTTCCAAAAAAATCCAAATATCTCAGGAACAATGCCTGACCTGACATTTCACTGGGGTGAGCTTACTCTTACAGACAATGCCTGAGGCTGTGTCCATTCAGATGCTGGTGGTAGAAAAGACCAATAAGAGTTAAAAGCCAAGAAAGAAAAAATAATTTTTTGGAGGTTGAGGACTTCCTATTTATGAAATACAGAGTGGTAAGAAGCATAAAAAATTATTGAAGACAACCTAAGAGCTCTAGGAAGAAAAGAAATAGAAGTTAAAGCAGGTCTTAAACATCTACTCAGTCAGCTTCCCAGTTATAAAGACAACTGTCCAAATACATGAATGTTTTTTCTCCTTCTTGAAACTCCTGAAGTGTTAGTAAAGGAATAAAAACAGTAAAATCCATAGCAGAGAGAATGCTGGGAGACACAATATACATCAAATTCATTTTTTAAATGATTGCCTAAAATTTCATGGCGTAGATGTATTGTCATTTATTCAATCATCCCCCTTCCTTCCTCGTATGAATAATACTGTAGAAAATACTCCTGACACCTAATCTTACAAATCAGTGCTTTTCTTTCTGTGGAATAGATTGATTACCAGGAATGGGATAGCTGTTGGAAAAGGATGGGTATTTTTTAAGATATTTTAATACAGTCCCACCTTTTTGCCATAAAAGGCTAAAAGCCACCCCATATATAATCTGTATGTATAAACGTACATGGGTATAGTTTATTAATGATTACATAAGCATGGAAAAATATGGAAGACGACATGTTATGTGTTAGGTATCCTCTTATATGAACAACAGTTGATGAGGAAGATTCCCAGCCTGTCTCATCATGTTCTTTCTCTGAACATGTACAACAGTTGATGTGGGTGGTTGGAAGGAAGACATAAGAACAAAGTTAAAACAAAAACAAAAACACCAGCATATATGAAATGATTGCAACTACACAAAATTACATCTGTATGTTTACCAAAAAAATTAAATATAAAATTTAGAAAACCCATATATATTCACTATTTACATGTTAACTCAGACATATAAATATATGAACCAGAGCTAGGCCCAGCACCCACCTTCGCAAGTGGTTGCCACTAACACACTCCACCTGTCAAGAGGCACAGAGAGGCATACAGCTCACTTTCAAGAGCTGAATGAAGGGGATGCCAAGATGGGAAAAATGCTGGTCCACGGCTCATGCTTGCTGTAGGACTAGGGCTACGGGGAAAGAACTAAGCATTTGGGACCCAAGGCAAGCGTTTCCAACTTCCTTCACACTGGAATGAAGGCTTGGGATATAATTAGGAGCGGAAACAAACATGTTGATAATGTCAACAATAAATTAAAACCAAGATTTTTATCAAGTAGCTAGTGTATATTTAAGTAAGAGTTATTAACCATTTTAAGATTATTTGTGCATTTTTCTACTGTAGTTTTCCTATGCATCCTCTCTATTGTTAGATGGAAAGTTTATATGGCAGCCAAAAGCATGGCCTCGGGAATCCTTTACATCTGAGTCTGAAGCTCAGTGACATCCTGTGAAAGCTACTTAACCTCCATGTGTCTCAGCTTTCTCTTAAGTAAAATGGTGACAATATGTACCTCTCTCCCCCTGGCATGGAGTAAATATTTTTTTAAAAAGGGAAATTAATCTTATGTTTCCAATTATGTTCTGTGTGAGATTTTTAATAAATACCTTATTAACATTGCTACTTAAATCACAGCAATCCCTACACACAAGGAATTAATTCAGTGATCATAATCTGATTCCCTTCCTCAGTTGTCAATTAACTATAAGTCACAAGCAAAATGTCTACATAACTCACATTCAAAGACCCACGAAAATAATAAAAAGCTAAGGTTCACTTCTCCGACTTTCTGGGTTAACCTGTAGAAAAATTTGCAGGACCTGATCAATAGCTGTCTTCAAGTATGAGACTTAAAAGGACAAGACTCTAGTTGTAAAAACACTGTCCAAATAGAAAAAAATAAAGAAAAGGAGGAGGATGTTAGGAGAAAAAATATTACCTCCTAAGTCTGGAACTCTGTAAGAGACACAGCAAATAACTGTTCTGAGAGTAGAATGTTGTTCTAAGATTCCAGGCCTGTCTCACCATGTTCTTTCTCTGAAATTTCACTTTATTTCAAATACATTTTTTTAATCAAAACTTCCAGGCATCTTATTTGTAAAACAGAATTAAAATATATGAATAATATCATCAAATGAGTAACTATCAGCTTAAAGACTGTGGCAAAGATTCAATAAAATTCAATATTAAGATAAAATGCTTCAGAATTTACAACATGTTAAAAGCTTGCCTCGTCTGCAACTCCAGGTTTGGTTATCAAAAGATGAAACTTCCTATTTGGTTAGGGCTAAGCATCACCACTAGATGGTGCCAGTATACATTTTAAGACCAACCCAAGACAGTGCTTTGGAAAGCCGCAGGGTGTGAGGTGAGCGAGCACTCAGGTGATGCAGTCCCTGCTTGCAGGGTGTGCCTCCAGGAGGAATTGCTTTTATTATCCCGGGTGATAAATGGGGTGATACCATCTCCTGCAAGAACCAAGAAAGGCATTTCTGTGATCTCTATGTGCAAACCTTTTATGGCAAACTTTTATAATGCATTCTTCAAATATTTATTCAATATCTACTTTGTGCCAGACACTGGGCCTAACTCTGGAAATAAAAAAAGGAATAAAGAGCAGGTAAGTATTGCCAATAAATAACAACAACATAGTCTGATACGTAAGATAATATGCTGTGGTGGCAAAGATTATCACAACACACCCCTTGCAATGTGGAATCCTGAAGAGTAACACACAAACTCCCCAGCAGAGCACACAGGTCTCTGGGGTTCCTGGCCTCCACATTTCTCTTCACTTGACTCTAACTACCCATAACACATCCAGCCATCCAAACCTCCCACCCCTGTCCCCCTGTTTCTGTCACTCCTGCTATTACATTAATGATCTATTTACAGTTCTGAAGATACCAAGACTTCATGGTTTGCCCACAGGAATTCATTCTGACTAGAATACCCTTTCCCACCCAGTCTCATCTTTCCCCATCTGCTTGGCAGAGTCTCATGCCTTCCTCAAAAGCCTAAGCATCAGCAAATTTAGGAAGCCACTCTTTAAAAAATTTTTTTAAATTGAAGTACAGTTGATATACAATATTACATCAGTTACAAGTATAAAACACAGTGACTTGATTATTCTACATTAATTGCTTACCCCAACTAGTGTACTTGCTGTCAACATAGAAAGATGATATAGAATTATTGACTATATTCTCTATGTTGTACTTTTATCCCTGTGACTAATTTGTATAACGATTGAGATTTTGTGCCTCTTTATCCCCTTCATCTATTTCACCCACTCACTCACTCCAACCCCTCCCTCATGGGAACCACCAGCCACTTTTAAGTGTCTACGAGTCTATTTCTGTTTTGTTCATGTTTTTTAAAATTTTTTTTGTACTCCACATATGAGTGAAATCACATGGTATTGTCTTTCTCTGCCTCCTTACTTCACTGAGCATAATACCCTCTAGGTCCATCCATGTGGTTGCAAATGGCAGGATTTTTTTCTTTTTTATGGCTGAATAACATTCAATTGTATATATGCACTCCATCTTCTTCATTCAGTCATCTATTGATGGGCACTTCAGCTGCTTCCATATCTTGGCTATTAGAAATAATGTGGCAATTAAACATAGGGGTGCATATATCTTTTTGAATCAGAGATTTTGTTTTCTTTGGGTTAAATTCCAAGGAGTGAGATTCCTGGGTCAAATGGTATTTCTATTTTTAGTTTTTTGAGGAACCTCCATACTGCTTCTCATTGTAGCTGCACCAATTTACAGTCCCTATCAATAGAATGAGGGTTCTCGGAAGCCATTCTTGATACTCCAACATCAATATATGGTCTTTTCTCTGTTTCCATTTTTTTTTCTTTAGAACTTCCCAAACACTTAAAATAGCTTAACAGCAACTGATTTTTAAAACTTAATAAGTTTAAAAATATTTATTGAATGGGCCAGATATTTTCACTGGCTTCCACATGAGACAAAGAAATTTTTAGAAGTTTTGAATTAATGAGCAGCAGTGGAGAAAATGTAAAGGTAATAATGCCTTTGGAGGACAGTCTTCCATAAAGGAATTCTGAAATATTTATTAAATCTTCAAGTCACTTATATAAAAAAATGACCCGCAACAAGAAGTCAAGATTCATGTAAACCATTCAGCTTAGTCATAGGCAGACTGCATGCACAACGCCAGGGAGAAGGATGACACGGGGATGCTGGGGGAGAGGGCAACACACAGACAATAGTGAAGATACCTGTTCATTGTGGTCTAACCTGAACGTAATACGAACTTAAGCATGAAGGCAGAGGTTTTCAGGGACTGTCAAGGAACCACTGGAGAACGAGGATGGAGCCAGATCTGATGTGGTATGATGGGCTTAGAAAGCCCGGCTGAGGGAGTTGACATTTCACGTGGCTGGTACCAAGGAATCAGGAAAGACTTTACTAGCCAAAGAGATCGATAAAGCCTCCTGCAATGAGGGGACTAACAGGAAACATGAAGGAAAAAGAGATCTGAATTATTTTAAAGGGAAATCGGACAGAATTTGAACACTTACTGAACCCAAGGGACAAAAATATATTTAATTTTGAGGTGGAGGAAGAGTAAAACAAACGTATTTTGGGCGATGAGATTTCAAATGCACTCTCGAGGCTCCTAAACCCAGTTCACCCACTAGCAGAATTCAGTGTCACCCTGATTGGCTTCTTAAACTATATGGAATAAATTATGATGAGGAGGAAAGGTCTCTGTGAGTACTGTATACTCAATAAAATCATTACTTATGAATAAATATTACTTATTTCATTAAGAAGATATGCTTTCGGATAGGTGCTACTTGA